TTAGTTGCAAAATGTTCTTTTAGTGACACTTACATTTAAGGCATTTGGCTGAGGCCCTTATCCGGAGAGATTTACATTTGATCTCATTTTATACAACTGAGCAGCAGAGGGTTAAGGGCCTTGCCCAAGGGCCCAACAGTGGCAGGTTGGTAGTGCTAGGATTTGAACTCCCAACCTTCCAATCACGTGTCCCCTGTTTTAACCCCTGAGCTACCACTGCCCTAATACTTTCTCACAGCCTTTTGCTTTTTCCTGTCTCTTTTTTGTGATTACATTGAAAATGTAAATTGAAATGGTACATTTCTTCAGTTTAAACATTCAGTGATGGAACAAGCGTAGGAGTGCAGTCAATATGAGGGCAAGGTAAATATGCTGGGTCACTTGATTCAAAATTTTACTTACCCTTTCCTCTCTTCTCCACTTACACATTTAAACAGGTGACACATATTAACAATATGATTCTGAACAATATAAACATTACTGATAAATGACATGATCAGGGACTGACTGTTTGGTAGTGGTGATCAGGGATTAGCTGTTAGGTAGTGGTGATCAGGGATTAGCTGTTAGGTAGTGGTGATCAGGGATTAGCTGTTAAGTAGTGGTGATCAGGGATTGGCTGTTAGGTAGTGGTGATCAGGGATTAGCTGTTAGGTAGTGGTGATCAGGGATTAGCTGTTAGGTGTAGGGTATGTTAGGTTAAGTTATGTTGTATAATGGTTTAATCTGTTAGGTAGTGTAATCAGGGATTAGCTGTTAGTAGTGGTGATCAGGATATGTTAGTGTGAAGGATTATGTTAGTAGGTAAAAGTTAGTGTTGGTAGTGGTATCAGGATTAGCTGTTAGGTAGTGTACATCAGGGATTAGCTGTTAGGTAGTGGTGATCAGGGATTAGCTGTTAGGTAGTGGTGATCAGGGATTGGCTGTTAGGTAGTGTAAATCAGGGATTAGCTGTTAGGTAGTGGTGATCAGGGATTAGCTGTTAGGTAGTGTACATCAGGGATTAGCTGTTAGGTAGTGGTGATCAGGGATTAGCTGTTAGGTAGTGGTGATCAGGGATTAGCTGTTAGGTAGTGGTGATCAGGGATTAGCTGTTAGGTAGTGGTGATCAGGGATTGGCTGTTAGGTAGTGGTGATCAGGGATTAGCTGTTAGGTAGTGGTGATCAGGGATTAGCTGTTAGGTAGTGGTGATCAGAGATTGGCTGTTAGGTAGTGTAAATCATGGATTAGCGGTTAGGTAGAGGTGATCAGGGATTAGCTGTTAGGTAGTGGTGATCAGGGATTAGCTGTTAGGTAGAGGTGATCAGAGATTGGCTGTTAGGTAGTGGTGATCAGGGATTAGCTGTTAGGTAGTGGTGATCAGGGATTAGCTGTTAGGTAGTGGTGATCAGAGATTGGCTGTTAGGTAGTGTAAATCATGGATTAGCGGTTAGGTAGTGGTGATCAGGGATTAGCTGTTAGGTAGTGGTGATCAGGGATTAGCTGTTAGGTAGTGTAAATCAGGGATTAGCTGTTAGGTAGTGGTGGTCAGTGATTGGTTGTTAGTTAGTGGTGATTATTGATTGCCCATTGGACAGTAGTGATCACTGATTGGTTGTTAAGCAGTTGTGACTCGTGATTATTTGTTGAGCACTGATGAACAGTGATTGGTTGTTGGACAGTTGTGATCAGAGATTGACCCATAAACAGTTGTGAGAAAGCTGAGCATTGAATAATAGTGATCAGTAATGTGTCACTGGATATAGCTGTCGTATGGCATTGGCTGTAAAGTAGTTTTAATTATTATTCATTGGAGTTTGGTGATCAGTGATTGGTTGTTGGTCTTGGTTTTCAGAGATTGGTTCTTAAACTGTGGTGATGAGTTCACTGGTTGTTTATTGGACATTGGTGATTAGTGATACTGCAAGTCATTGAACACTGTGATCAGTAATTGGCCATTGGTTAGTTGGTAGTAATGAGTGAATAGTTGTTAGGTAAAGGTAATCAGATGACTGATCATTAAACAGTAGTGATTAGTGATTGCTTATTCACCACTGTGATCAGTGATTGATCATTGGGTAGTAGTGATCAGCGATTGAAGCATCTGTAATCTGTATTCATTAGTTGGTGATCACTGACTGTTCAGGCTGTTGGGTAGACGTAATGAATAGTGAGTGTTCGATCACTGGGTTGTCGTAACCATCGGATGATAGTTGTGTAGTGATGATCAATGACTGGCTGTTGGGTACTGAGTCTTTGCAGTAGTCATTTGGGCTCAAGGAGCCCAATGCTGGGATTAGAACTCACAACCTTCTGAGTATTTATCAGCTTCATTAGCATTATTATCCATCCATTTTCTGAACCACTTATCCTACACAGAGATCTTGGAGTCTATCCCGGGGGACTCAGGCCCCCTCAAGGCAGGGGATGCCCTGGACAGGGTCCCAACCTATCACAAGGCACAATCGTACACACATTCGCACACTACAATTTGGAAATTGCAATCAGCCTACGATGCTTATTTTTGGAAGGCGGGAGGAAACTGGAGTACCAGAGGAAAACCCTGAAGCACAACAGGGTGCACACAGGATGGAACAAGAATCAAACCCCCAACCCCAGAGATGCGAGGCAAACATACTAACCACTAACCGTGGTTTTCAAAATGGGGGTCCACTTAGGGGTCGCCAGGGGGCGCCTGGGGGACCTCAACAATGTCAGTGTGAAAAATAAATTCTCATGCTCAGCAGACCACACACACACACACACACACACACACACACACACACACACACACACACACACTCAATTCCTAATGTAATGTAAAGAGTGTAAGATGTGATTATTATTAATAATTAATAAAAAAAAAAGATTGGATATATTTAATGTATTTTAAATACATCTTGCAAAGGGGGGGCCCTCGGTCAAATGATAATGACATTTGGTGGGAAAAGTTTGGGAACCCCTACACTAACCCACCGTGCACTCCAGAATTATTATTATTATTATTATTATTATTATTATTATTATTATTAAGTAATAATAAACATCTTCAGTATTAAAACAGACCAGTGTTAAATAGTCTATTTCTTATAGTGCATCAATCAAAACATAAGCCCAGAGCCAGAGAGCTCTTCAAAGGTGAATTCTGTCCCGGTCCATCCTGCATAGTCAAACGCTGACTCGTGTTTATACAACCCGCGGCGTCTCAGTGCGGCACCAGCACGCGCGATCGTTACTGCGCGCGCATTGGCTGGCGGAGAAGGGCGCACGTGGGTGAGGGTAAACAACACGCCAGCGCGCCCCCGGTGCGCGTCCGGTCATCGGAACCTCGGTACAGCCTCGCGGACTTTACTGCAGCACGGACACGGCGGAACAATGTCGCACGGAAAGCTGGTACGGTAAGACATGCGAGATAACGGTTATTAGTGTCCAATCTCCAGCGTCTAATCACACTGTGCGGTTTAGGACAATGCCCGTGGCGTTGCGCTGCACTGCACTGATAATACGCTCTATAATCCCGCACTGATCTCAGCCACTATTCTTTGCCACAATATTTAATCGGACATCACGCATCTGATGACGATCAGACCTGAGATCTGACTTTTGCACCGTGAGAGTCAGCAGAGATTTCGCAAGACGCTTTCACAAACACGATTTCCACACAATTTAAAAACAAACACGCTTACTATACGTGATAATAATGTAGTTTAGAACGAGCACAATGCTGGTCTTTAAAAGAAAAAGAGAGAGCAGATTCTTGCAGCAATATTTTGCACTTTTATAATAAGGGCAGAAATATTCCAATAAATGCGACGTTTTAAAAAGGTTTCTTTATTTTTTTTTATTATGGCTGTTATAGTAGGTGTATACTTTATATCCATATAACACTATCTTGGTCATGATATAAGGGGTAATAAATAAATAAATAAATAAATAAATAATTACTGTAGGCCTATTTAATCTTTTTCTTCTTTTTTTTTTTAATTTTCACTCGCAGTATTTGCATTTTTATAATAACGGATGGCTAAAATATTACAGTAGCGATATGAACTACAACAAATCATCCTTGTAGTAAGCGACAAAGATTTAGAAAATAGATTAAAAAAAAAATAGACGCTGTTAAAATTATCATTCAAAAAATAATTTCAAATAAAATGCATGCGTGTTTTTTTTCTTTTCTACTTCTTCTGTATTTAAATCTCTTATTTTCCTCGCTGTTTACTCCTACGATTTCAATTTATCCCAAATAGTTTACACCATCATCTGTTCGTTTTTTCGCTTATTGATTTCCTCCTGTTGTTTTTTTTTTTTTACTTCTAATATTTCCTTCCCTGTTGATTACGTAACCCTTTATTTGGTGATTTTCAGCAGTTCAAAGAGTTAAAATGAAAACATAAAATGCATCGCGTTAAAAAAACCCACCAACAACAACAACAATGTAAGATACTACACAAGATACCTGACAAGATATCTATCGACAGTTCGGTGAGATCGAAAAATTAAGTTAGTAAATCTAAAACTGCAGTTCAGTGAAATCGTTTCCATAGTAACAGGATGTTTTTTTTGTCACCCATCAGCTGTGCAAGTTGCGATAAGCGCAAGCATGTACTCTATAATGCGTTTTAAATGTCAGCAGGTGAGTAAATAAGGCTACGATTAGCTACCATGATGTCATATCTGATCACGCTCGTACTAATGTTAAAACGTATAAACATGCGTTCTGCTTCCGCACTGTGCTCCCCATGCTTTTGGGGTTTCCTCCAGGTACTCTAGTTTCCTCCACGAGTTCAAGTACATGCTTTCAGGTTGGCTGGCATTGCCCTGGGTCCCGGGGTGGACTCCGGCTCCATGTGACCCAGTATGGGATAAGTGGTACAGAAAATGGATGGATTGATGGAAGCTTATACATGTTATGGCATTTGGAAGATGCCCTTATCCAGAGTGACTTATATTAATCTCGTACATATATCTGAGCAGTTGACGGTTGAGGGCCTTGCTCAGGGGCCCAACAGTGACAGCTTGGCAGTGCTCGGATTTCAACTCATGATCTTCTGATCAGTAGTCCAACATCTTAACCAATGAGCTACGACTGCCCCAGTGGTACTTACATGTTCACTTTGCGAAGTCTTGCCAATATATCCTGTAGTATTAAACGAACACCGTTCATGTATCTGTTTACGAAATGCGCAACCGTAATGTGGCTGTCGCAGAACGTCAGTGACCCGAGTTCGATCCTCGGTGTGGGCGAGAGCTCGGAGTCTGATCGTATTCACTATATCGAAAATACACGATCAAATCATGTTGGATGTACGAAATCAAACAGTCTCAATGTAACTCGCGTCAATCACGTGGAGCCAATGTACACATTCGAATGAAGTCAGTTCCAGTCAGCTTTTTCTGTTCTTTTCTTTCACTGGATGCGTATTTGACTACACTTTTGGATTAGTGCTGTTTGTTTGGACATTGAAACCTGACAGTGTTTGACCTTTTACCTGTTTCTCTGCTACGATTTTTGGATCGTGCTCCATAAAACTCTGCATACAGATCGGCAGGCCATGAGACGGAGAATCAATTTCTCGCCCTAGCAGCAGCGTTTTTCTTTCCGTTGTCGGTATCCTGAATTCCTGGTCTGATCCGCATGGGAGCTTACATCTCGCACCCAGAGCTGTTATTTTCATACGAAGTGAACGTTAGAGGCCTCCGATCAGACCTGCACGTTTATTCAGATTTCTAAACGATAAATCCGAGCCAAAGTCCGTCCATTTGACGGACATCTTGACGACACTCCTGGCCCGTTCTATTCAGTCACACAAGACCAGGCTCTTATTTACTTGAATGGAGAGAAACCCATATAACAGAAATAGATGGACAAGACGACCTTTAAACACTGATTTGAATCGGCCAGCAGTTGTGTAAATAACCTGTGGTCTTTGGCGTAAATCACCCAGACTTTCCTGTGTTGTTTCAGCCGCTGTGCATGCATAACTAATGGAGCATCCTGTAACTCTAGCTACATTACTGTAAGACTCTGATCGGGTCAGGTGTTTTTCTGCTAATCTCATAACCAGAAAGCTTCTTTTTTTGCTAAGGTGCAGTGTTTACGTAATACAGCCATCACGCCACCTCATCCGTACTGTACTGTAACACACTGTCTGTCTGAGCTCAGCAGTTTCACACTGTTACCAGATACATATTTTTTACCCAGTATGATATGTACAGTATATACAGGTGCATCTGAAAAACTTTATTCGAATATTTTGAGATACCGGATTTTTGATTTTCCAAAGGCTTGGAAAATTTTGCTTTATGTGTAATGAATGTTAGATTATAGGAAAGTTACGCTATTTTAAATTAAATTACGTGAATAAACGAACTTTTCCCACGATTAAAATTTTTTTTTCCCCCGAGATGCACCTGTACAAATACAGCAGATATTGCATGACTTCCTGTTTTCGGTAGCCCTCCCAAGATGCACGTGAACTTAAAGCTCGCTTGTTAACATCAGGTCAAGTTTGATATCAATACGTAAAAGTGTTTTTTTTTTGTTGAGACATGCCCTCACGTCCTGTTTCAGATTAGTTTGTGCAATATGCAACGAAATGTCCCGGATATCAAAAATCCAAGAACATAGTTTTGTTAGTCTCATGATGCTGGGATCCAAATTCTGTGATGACAGTTTTGGTTAAAACATGGCCGACTTCCTGTTCGCACTTTTCAGTGAATCAGTAGACAGCAGAATCATGATTTGATGTTGAGTGGGTCAAAAGTTATGAGTGGTTTTAATAATTAAAAAAATGTATAATTTAGTGCCTCTAGAGGTGAATTTAAATAAAGCGTCTTGGAATCCCTTATGTCCAGGTCTTTCACCCATGTATGAAGTTTTCATCTCATTAGCTATGTTTCCATTTAAGTTGCGATTTTAACTTGTGTGAACATTATCACATGATTAAACATGATCACATGATTTGTTGAGGCAAAGTCACATGACTTTTTTGATGCGCATCGAGGAATTTATTCAGTGAATATGTTTCCATCGGAGTTTATGCGCATAATCTTCCTATGGGATCATTTTTAATTTAATTTTTTTCTTACTGCGCATGATAGAAACGTAGCTACTGTTGCTGAGACATGTTCTGAAAAATGTTCGAGTTTTCTTCGGATGGGTCTTCGGATGTCGGGATTCAGATTGAGTGATGATTGGCTGAAGCTGGTAGTCGAAGATGGTGAAAAAATGTTTTTGAAAACATTGTGGCAGAAAGTTCAGTATGGAAGATATTAACATCATGGTATACTCTGAACTTGGCATGACCTAGAGAATCTGAGGAAAGCAAAATCACGCCTCTACTCAGTTGAGGTGCAGAGTTATTATTGCAAATGTAGTACTATATGTGCAAATTTGCCATGTTGGTGGTGCTAGAACACTTGAGGGGTGTACAATAAAATTGCTGTCCTCTATCCTCTAAAACATACGAAGCGTTCGATACGCTACCATAGACTCCCACCCCTTATTATAAGTACCCCTCCTTGTGCCCGATTGATTCCTGGGATAGGCTCCAGGTTCCCCGTGACCCTAAAGAAGGAGTAAGCGGTAGAAGATGGATGGATAATAATAATAAGAAGAGGGGAAAAAGAACCTACAATTACAATTACACATACAATTGGGTGCCTACACACCTTCAGTGCTTGGCCCCCTAAATATTTCATATGTATAGGGATCTCAGGGCAGTATTGCAACCTGGCCTGGAAGCTTCCCTTTATTTGAGATTTATTGATGTCTTTTGACATATTGATGATGTGGTAAACTATGACATGCTTCATGATTAGTGAGGGACTCGAGGGGCAGCCTGACCACTGTGAACCTTACTCTAGATCTGTTAGCGTTATCCAAGTATGGTGTTATATGTCTTCAGATATCTCCAACACCTGCTGAACTTCATTAAAGATGAATCAAGTGTGTGTGTGAGAGTGTGTGTGTGAGAGTGTGTGTGAGAGTGTGTGTGAGAGTGTGTGTGAGAGTGTGTGTGTGAGTGTGTGTGTGTGTGTGTGTGTATGAGGAAATAACCAGAGTGAAGCACCGCTAATCAAGATAGTTCACTATTATTCATGTGTGCTTGTCTGTTTGTTTAATGAATGTATGAATGTTTTCACTTAGTTACAGGTTGGATTAGATTAGATTAGATTAGATTAGATTAATAACGCTCGATAACTCAAGAACAGTTTTATGTTTTTAAACTATGCTGAACTGTCAGTTTATTACTTAATAAGTTAGGAATTTTTTTTTCTCCCCCCTTTTTTTTTGCCAGAAAGTTTATCAGGACCTCTAGTTAAAGGTTTATATTACACCATGCCCATGGTCAGTACTGCCAATTTTGAATTTGGGGGTCCATTATTTTCTAATATTTAGATTGTAAATATGTGATCACGGTTACAAATTCAAGGTCATGGGAGTCACATTTTATTTGATTCAATACTAATGTGAGAAGTGTTAGATTAACAGCAACAGCATAGCAGGATAACACCCTACGAGACTGTAACCGTAATTACAGTCGAACAACGGCAGCCTTTTGGTACTGCTGTTTCCAAGCCATTCAGTTTAAGGAGATTCCCGACTAGGATTTTCACCTCATCATCGATAGGTTTATATCCTGACGATGCTGCAGATATACGTGGAGTCTGAGAGAGGATAACTGTGATTTCCTCGTGGGAACGAAGGATGGCCTTTCGCTATATATCCAGCATACACAGCTGCCCTGTAACGTCCTGTGATGTAGCAGTAGCAGTTTGTTGCTTCAAGTGTTTTGGGGCGTGTGTGTGTGTGTGTGTGTGTGTGTGTGTGTGTGTGTGTGTTATCTTTCACACTTTCATTGTTAAGTAAATATCGTCGGGGGGGGGTTGAAACTCTTCGTGACCGCTTTGCGTCGTGGTGTTCTCACTGAAAGTCTGTCGTTGGGGAAATTCCGATGAATTATTCAGATGAATACAAATATGCGTAAATACAGATGAGTAACACCTCGTTTATTTACAGATAAAGTGATAAAAGGATTCTTGCACAGTTAACAGTACAGGTTGTGTAAGTGAATAAATGTTTATATTGCAGAATGATCGTGAATATAATAACCTGCAGCTTACACTGTGTGTGTGTGTGTGTGTGTGTGTGTGTGTGTGTTTGTACGTATATTGATGTCTGCTACTCTCTCCAGGTTGTTTGTGTATTCCTGCTAGTGCTTGGCCCCCGTGTGTGTGTGGGCTACGTATTCCAGGCTGCTCAGCCAACAGAAGAAAAGGAGGAGATTCCCGTACTCCCTAAAAGTGAGACTTGCAGAGCTGTACACATTTCCTTCCATCCTATTTATGAGAGAAAGTCAATAATTCTAAAGCCTTTTCTAACATCTGTGTGTGTGTGTGTCAGTATCGATATGGGAAAGTTCTTGTAAAGGGCGGTGCTTTGAGCTGGTAGAGGCGGAGCCTCCCAGGTGCAGGTGTGATAATCTGTGTAAAACGTACTATAGCTGCTGCGCAGACTTTGATAAGCAGTGCCTCAAAACCGGTGAGTACAAACATAAATATTCTCACGAACTTAAAGACATGCACAAAAAACAACTGAGGTGCAGAGTCATTATGGTAACATTCATAATGTAACGTGTGTGTGTGTGTGTGTGTGTGTGTGTGTGTGTGTGTGTGTGTGTGTGTGTGGTTAGGTGGAGGTTTTCAGTGTACTCCGGAGCGGTGTGGAGAGAACCGGAATGAGGACTATGCATGTCAGTGTTCAGAGGACTGTTTGGAGAAAGGAGACTGCTGCACCAACTATAATTCTCTCTGCAAAGGTCAGACAAAAGGCACACACACACACACACACACACACACACACACCCACACACACACACGCACACACGGAAACCTGGGAAAGAGGCAATTTCAATTGTCTTTCTTGGCCAACTTATTCAAGACTTTAAATTGTTCCTTATGAGAATTAGATGAGCGCTACGTAGTTTAAGACACCTAGGCTGAGAGGACACACACACACACACACACACACACTGTCACAAGCTACATGTACAAATACATTCTAGAACATTGTGTGTATGTGTGTGTGC